GTACATAGCCAAATCATCTGCAAAGAGGGATGATTCAGCTTATTTTCCTATCTGAATGCTTTTTATTCTTGCTCTCTTATCTGATTGCTTTGGCTAGGACTTCCAGCACTATGTTGAAAAGGAATGGAGAAAGTGGGCAGGTTTATCTTGTTTCAGTTTTTAGTGGGAAAGCTTTCAGCTTTTCCTCATTCAGTATAATGTTAACAGTGGGTCTGTTGTATATGGTGTTTATAGTGTTGAGAAGTGTCCCTTCCACCTCTATTTTGCTGAGAGTCCTGATCATGGAGGTATGTTGTATATCATCTAATGCTTTTTCTGCACTTACAGATATGATCACTTCTTTCTTCCTTCCTCCCTTCCTTCCTTCCTATTAATGTGACATATTACATTTATTGTTTTGTGTATTTTGAACCATTTTTGCATCCCTGAGGGAAAGCCCACCTAGTCTTGGTGTACAGTCTTCTTAATATAGTGTTTGATTTGGCTTGCTAGTATCTTGTTGAGAATTTTTGTTTCAGTTTTCATCCAGGATACTGGTCTACAGCTTTCTTTTTTCATTTATGGTCTTGTTTGATTTGGATATCCAGGTGATAGAGGCTTCATAGAATAAGTTTGGGAGGGTGTCTTTCTTTTGAATGTTTAGAAATACTTTGAGGAGAATTGGTAGCTCTTTCTTAAAAGCTTTGTAGAATTCACAAATGAAGTCATCAGGACCTGGTATGGTCCAGTTCTTTGTTGGGAGACTTTTTATTACTGATTAAATCCCATCACTTGTTATTAGTCTATTCAGGTTTTCTATTTCATTCTTATTCAGCCTAGGTAACTTGTACATGCCCATAAATTTGTCCATCTCATCTGAGTTTTCTAGTTTGTTGGCATATAGTTGCTTGTAGTATTCTCTTATAATTTTTGTATTTCTAACATATCAGTTGTAATACTACCAACTTCATTAGTGATTTTATCTATCTGTTTTATTTCTCTGTTTTTCTTGACTAATCTAGCTAGTGGTTTATCAATTTTGTTTACTCAAAAAAAAAAACACAGCTTTTTTTTTTCCTTGATTTTTTTTTATATAGTTCCATTACTCTCTATTTATTTCAACTCTAATCTCTTTATTTCTTCTGTTATTTTTTGGGGGGGCTTTTGTTCTTACTTTACCAGATCCTTGAGATACAATCTTAGGTTATTTATTTGCTGCCTTTCTGTTTAAAAAATAAATAATTAATTAATTTTAATTTGATCAGAGAAGGATGGGGGGAGGGGAGTAAGAAAGCAAGCCACCAGGTCTGGGACTCAAGTTGTGGTTGGCTATGTGGGAGTCCAGCGTCCTTAACCACCATGCCACCTGCTGGCCCCTCTGTTTTTTTCTTGTAAGCACTAATGGCTATGAACATGTCTCTTATGTCTGCTTTTGCTATGTCCCCAAAGTTATGGAGAGTGATTTGTTCATTATTGTTGGTTTCAACGAATCTTGATTTCAGTCTTAATTTCTTTAGTAGTTTGAAAGTTGTTTAGGAGAAGGTTGTTTAGTTTCCATGTTTGTGTGTATTTTGAGGGCTCTTTCTGTGATTGATTGAAATTTTAATCCATTATGGTTAGAGAAGATAATGGGTATAGTCTCTATACTTTTGAATTTTTAGAAGCTTGTTTTTTTGTCCTATTTTGTGGTCAGTCTTTGAAAATGTTCCATGTGGAGATAAGCAAAAAGTATATTCTGTAATTGCTGAGTGAAATATTCTAATATATGTCTAAAAAAAAGAATTTCTCTGTAATTCTTCTAAAAATTCTTTTAGAAATTCTATGTAATGTCCTTCTTTGTCTGTTTTTACCTTTTTATTTATTTCTTTGGTTTTTTTTTGAAGAGGTTTTTGCTATAGGGCACGTGCGCTCGCCAGACAGACAGAGAGAGACAGAGAGATAGAAAGCAAGAAATCACCCCCCAGGGGGTATGGCCACACCACAATCCCTTCTCCTCCATTCTCCTCTCAGGATCTTGGGCACGCACACACACGTGCCTGGCTTGAGTTTAAGCCACCAGGTCCAGGACTCGAACCGCGGTTGACACATGGGAGTCCAGCGACATAGGCATTACGTTAACTGCGCTAACTGCTGGTCCCATCTGTTTTTACCCTTTTTTTTTTTTTTTGAGAGGTTTTCGCTATAGGGTGCGTGCGCTCGCCAGACAGACAGAGAGAGACATAGAGACAGAAAGCGAGAAATCACCCCCCGGGGGAATGGTTACGCTGCAATCCCTGCTCCTCCATTCTCCTCTCAGGATTTTGGGCACGCACGCACATGCGCCCGGCGTGAGTTTTAAGCCACCAGGTCTGGGACGCGAACTGTGGTCGACTACGTGGGAGTCCAGCAATATAGCCATTACGCTAACTGCTGGTCCCTGTTTTTACCCTTTTTGTACCAAAGTCTACTTTGTCTGATCAATATTGCTACTTTTGCATTTTTTTTCATTTCTGTTTGCACGAAATAACTTTTTCCAGCCCTTCACAGTCTATATATATCTTAAATGATGCATGTTTTTTGTAAGCAACATGCCACCTGCTGGTCCCCTTTAAATACTTATTTATGTTATTTATTTTTATTACTACTTTTAATTTGACCAGAAAGAAGAGGAGGGGGAAAGTGAGAAAGGAAGCCACCAGGTCCAGGACTCAAACCATGGTTGGCCATCTAGGAGTCGAACGCCTCAACCATCACACCACCTACCAGCCCCCTTGTCTCTTCACTTTCTAAAATACCCATTCTGCAAATATTCAGCCATTTAATGGTGTCTCGAATATCCTGCATGTTGTCCTTATTTTTTTTAAGAATAATTTTATTTGGAGACCAGCAGGTGGCGTGGTGGTTAAGGTGCTGGACACGCCCACATGGCCAACCGTGCGTGGTTTGAGTACTGGACCTGGTGGCTTGCTTTCTCACTTTCA